AACGAAAAGTATTCACACTCAATTCAATGTTATTTTCCCTTAAAACCCCCATTATTAACCCTTAATATTTCGCCATCTTGAAACAAAATGGCGACTAATCGGAAAGCTCTCGTTGTTTTATCATCATCGGAGAACCTTCGGAAAATACGTCATCGATTATGCAAATTAATTTGCATAACTCATGAATTATTAAGTTATTACTAAGTTATTAAGTTATTACTAATTATGCGCATATGATGGGACCATTAAGCCCGAGATATAACTACTAAGGTGTGTTCAGAGTTTCCTAAATTATATCCTGTGCTGCGAGATTCAAACAATTCATGGCGATAAAACGGAGTTAGTTCGTTAATTGTTTTAAACATTAGTATAGCCTTATGCTTTTTCCGACGTGTTAAAAGATTATCCCAGCCCAGCTTATTAGAAAGGTCGCTGGAACTAGCATCATATTGAGATTTAGTGATGACCCTCGCTGCCCTATTTTGCAATTTTTGCAATTTGTCATTTAACGTGATATTCAAACCATCCCAAACTGAGCTACAATAATCATGCAAAGTGCGGTTGAATTAGTGCTCCATAAATTTTCAGAGCAGTACGTGTTTGTATCTATTAATTGGAGTACACGTTTAAGAGCTCCAATAGCTGATGCAATCTTTTTGGAAATATTTTCGACATGTCATGCCCATGTAAGATGCTCATCGATTTGCAAGCCTAAGGATTTTGTTCCGTTGACTCCCTTAATTGTCTTTCCGTCGATTTCTATCCTTACGTGTTGGTTATCATGTATACTAGTAATCTTTGACGAGATCGATTATCATGAATTTATTTAGCTACGTTAAGACTCAGTATATTAGCTAGTAGCCATTGATGAAGATTTTTCAATTCGAAGTTTATTATTTGCTCAAGCTCCGTAACGGAATTTGCTGCGATGCAAATATTAGTGTCGTCAGCAAACATTGTTGGAGAGGCTCTGTTGAAACAATTAGGCAAATCATTTCAGTTCTATTTCACATGTGAACAATGACTGATTAAAGAATGTAAGGTACAGTTAAATATCATGAAATAAATAGGCTAAATGGTGTTTTACACAGGTATGTAATTCTCCCACAACTCCAAACTTCATTTTTTAATGAATTAATTAACTCGAGTAGTGAATACCACATACAAGCTTTTCCCACTTTAAATCATAATGCATTTGTGCGTAAATTCCGGATATTTGCATACCAAACAAACTGAAATATCTCAGAAACAAAGTCAGCAAACGAAAATCTTCAAAATAAGTTATTTAATTTTATAATATCAGAAGTTCTTAAGGATGGGATGATAAAAATATAATTGAGATTGGGTGCACTTTAGTTATATTTCACGATTTCCCATAGTCCATAGTGAATCAATTCTTCTCATTTCTACAAAAAACGAAGCTCATTGTTTCAAATAATATATGCTTTTGAAAACTGAAATCTTGCTTATCCCACTCCTGATAAACAGCCATATTTTTGAGATCAGTGAGGTCCACCCATGAGCCATTGTCACACGCCCGCGACTATTGATGAACAACCTTAGACTTCGATGATGCTTTCCTTTCATCGGGTGTAAATAGCCGGGCGGATTTAGTACCCTCGCCCCAGGCGAGTTCAAGTTCAAGTTCAATTTATTCACACTATTTGGCGTATATATTACATTAGAAGAGATAATCATGATGTATATTCGGTATAAATACATTAAAAAGTTTTCAAATTATGATATTGAAATTGTGCACGGTTACCAAAGTAGCATAAGCTTTCGAGTTGGCCACCGTCTACTTTTGATTTATTAGGTAAATTTTTGAGCTAATTGCATATATCTCATTATTTACTATTTGGATTTTACAGTCAATAAATTGAACTCTTGGTCAAAAGAAGAGAAAGATAAGCAGCAAAGAAAGTTAGCATAATACACAAAATTAAAGCTATTTTTTATTAACTTAATCATTAATTAAGTAGTTGTTTAACCAATCCATTGAGGTATAAAATAAATCAAGTTATACATTCCCAATTTAACTAAGGGTTATTAATTTGGTTTGACAGTACTGTTTTTCATGGGCGTACCGGAAGGAAAAATTTAGGGGGGCGGAGAGAAATTTGCCCGACTTTTCCGGATTTTGCCCGACAAGTACCGAAAAAAATTTTTCCGGAATTTGTTTTGGCGACCCCGTCATAAAAATTTTGGTCAGTGTACCATTTCAGGGGCCAAAAAATTTTTCCACACATACCATAATTTTCAGGGACCTAACAAAAATTTTAGAAGTATCACAAAATTTACAGAATTTGTCCCATTTATTTTCTTAATAAACCAAAATTGCCCGACTGTTCAGCGATACGCCCATGCTGTTTTCCCGGTACGCCCATGCTGTTTTTTAAAATTACTGGTCGTTGGTAATTTTTTTAAGGAAACTGTAATGCTCTCCCATAACACTGACGCAGAGTACTTGAAAGCAAATTTTCCAAAATTTGTTCTTATTTTTGGCCGATAGAAGTTGCATCTTGCTGCATGCCTTGTATTGTAACTATGAATATTTTTCACAGGCATTAAAAAGTTATGAAATAGTGAGGGAACGCTTGAAGGGTTGACAAACAATTTATGTGTTAATATAGCAGTTTTTAATTTGACAATATTTTCAAATTTTAATATTTCAAGTAATTGATAATAAGGTGATGCAGATTGTCTATTGTTTACAAAGAAGATACGTACTACGAACACAATTATTTTGTTTCACAGTTAGTTTTTTTAATTTGCTTGAGTAATTACTGCCCCAACTCATAGATCCATAGCTTAAGTATGGATAAATGAGGGTATAATACAATTGTTGTAACATGGGAAGATTTAAATAATTACGTAAAATTTACCTAAATTTTTAGATATTTTGGTATTTGGCTTTTCCAAGTCAAGTGCTCATCCATATATATACCTAAGTATTTAATGCACTTTTTTGCTCAATATTTAATGAAGGTTCAATATTTGAAGAAAGGTTCTTACTGGCATAGAATATGTTAGCATCATCAGCAAATAAGCGAAAAGAACGCTTTGTTGACGAATTAGGTAAATCAGTAATATATAAAAGATATAATAGTGGCCCTAAAGTGGATCCCTGAGGAATTCTACATACAACATTTAGAAGCTCAGATTCTATATTTCCAATTTTGACATACTGTAACCCATTTTGAAGATAGCTTTTAAACCAATCCAATACTATACCACGAACTCCATATTTGTTTAATTTATTTAGTAATATATTATAGTCGACTGTATCAAATGCCTTAGAGAAATCTAGAACGAGGCCACATGTAATAAGTTTATTATCAATTGAGGTTCTGAGATTATCACTCATCTCTAAAATGGCCAACTCTGTAGAATATCCTTTCCTGAAGCCAAACTGATATGGAAATAAAATTTCATGCTTTTCAATAAATGAAGTCAGTTGATCCCATATAATCTTTTCAAGTATTTTACTGAAAGGTGACAATAATGCGATAGGCCTAAAATTTGTTGGGTCTGTTGTTAAGCCATTCTTATACACAGGTGTTACCCTAGAGACCTTTAATATGTTGGGGACAACGCCTTGCATAATCGAAAGATTATAAATATAGGAGAAGGGTTTCGATAATTCTAAGCTAGCATATTTTATTAATTTATTTGGAATATCTAACGAAACTTTCCTTATGTCCAGATTAGAAAAAAGATATGCTATGTAATTTTCCTCAGTTGGTGAGAAAAAAAAACTATCAGTTGGGCTATTACTTATATACTTAAGTGGGTCACTATTGTCGCCTGTACTGTCAATCATGCTAGCTAAATTTGGACCTACATCTATAAAATGATGATTAAACTGCTCAGCAACATCGTTTGGCTTTGTGTAAAGTTTATTATTTATCATCAGTCTAGTTGGAGAATTAAGTTGACCTTTTGTTTTCCTTTTAAAGTGCCAATAAGCTTCCATGTTTCTTTAAGGTTACTTTGGTACAGTTGAAAATGTTGATTATAATAATCATTTTTTTTATTTAGTTTTTAACTGGTTAAGTAGATTGGAATACTGTTTATACTACTGCACTTTTTCCGGATCTTTACTGAAAAAATTTGATTTATATAATTTTTGTTTGGCTTTTATCGAAGTCAGTAAGCCTTTAGAGATCCAAGGTTTGGCAAGTTGTTTCATCCAAGGTTTGGAAAGTTGGCGAACGCCCCGGAACGATGCTCTGCGTCGTTGGCTTGGGGACAACGACTTGAAAATTTTACTCAACTGCATAAGTTTTGTTAGTGTTATTTAAGGTAAAGCCATTTTTCCACCTGCGCATGCACTCAATTGTTACTTTAGTAAGTGCGGCCGTACGTCATGTTTGTTTTGTTTTAAAGCATTCTGTCACCATTACTGGAGGACTGCTTTAAGCTGATTGGTTGATTTTAGATTTCATTGTTTTTCTACCAATCAGATCAGTTTGTTACAGATTTTTGCACTACGTTGTTACATAATTTTGCCCTGCTGTTTGATATTAACTGCACTGAAATCAACCAATCACAGACAAGTAACATTTTTATGTATATTATTAAAAATAATTATAATTAATAATTTTAATTTCTATTAATATATTTTTTGTAGAACACACAAAAATAGTGGAAAGATTACTGCTTTTAACTATATAAGAGTTTCCAAAATATATACCGTAGGTACGTTATTTTGCATTTTGTGAGCTTTGATTTAATCCCCGAGCCAACGGCGCGGAGCGCCGTTCCGGGCGTAAGCCCGGGCGAGGGCACTAATTTCGTCCGGCTATTTACACCCGGGAAAGGAACGCGCGCACTAGCGAAGTCTAAAGTTCGTCAAATTTCGCGGATGCATTGTTGAAGGCATGACTTTAGAACACGTATTTGTAATGAAATCACTCTTTATTTTCACGTTTATTACAAATGTAGTTTTGTACAGTAAGTTACTTTCACGAGGAAGTTCAACTGACAACACAACAATCCCATCATGCATTTGTCTCTCAGTATTACGTCATACTAATATTTGGATAACGTACAGTTTTATATTGAACTCAACACCCTCACTTGTTATCAGAATATAAACTAATTACCACAACCGAACACGATACTTTTAAAATTATCTAGTTTACATTTTGTGGGTGGCTTTGTTAGGATATCAGCTACCATATCTTGGGTAGGACAATATACAATATCGATCATGCCTTTAACATACATTTCACGTAAAAAGTGGTACTTTATGTCAATATGCTTAGAACGTTGTCTGTTAACTGGGTTCTTACTTAGTGCAATTGCCCCTTGGTTATCAACACTTACCTTCATACTCTGATGTACTTTCTTATACATACCGTTTAACAATTGAGTTAGATACAAACACTCTTGGGCTGTATTTGCTAAAGCTACATATTCAGCTTCGCAAGTGGAAATGGCAACCGTTGGTTGCTTTCTCGACTTCCATGAAATCAGTGGTCCTCCTTCAGTTAGAGTACAACAGTAACCTGTAGTACTTCGCCTGTCTTCCAGGCAAGAGGCCCAATCTGAATCACTATAAGCAGTGAGCTGCAAGTCAGCATCAGATTTCTTAAAGCAGAGTTCATAATCCACGATACCCTTTAGATACCTTAGGACATGTTTGGCAGCAATTAAATCTCCCGTTCTGGGGTTTGACAGAGTTTGAGACAGTCTGCTTACAATCCAACTTAAATCAGGCCTTGTACAGGTCATGGCATAAATTAGGCTTCCTATCATTTCTCTATACTGTCTGGCGTTGGTCAATTCACCACAGTTAAATTCTAATCGTTGCTCACATGGGGTTAACCTGGGCTTGCAGTCTATCATTCCAAATCTCTCTAGTATTTTAAGAATGAATCTTTTCTGATTAATTTTTATTTCACCCTTGCTTTGCTTAAAATCCATTCCAAGGAAGAAAGTGATTCTACCTAGATCTTTCATCTTAAATTGTGTCTTCATACTTTCTTTAAATTCTTCCATTAACTGCATACTATCTGAAGCTATGATTAGGTCATCAAACCAAACAATGACGATAACAATTTTATCATCAACTTGTTTCTTATATACACAGTGATCAGCATGGTTTCTGACAAAACCGTCATTTGCTAAATGCTCGTGTAACAATATGTTCCAATTTCTACCTGATTGTTTTAGACCATATAGCGATTTCTTTAGCCTATATACTAACCTCTCACCACTCTCTGAAACCTCTTCAAACCCTTGTGGCTGGTCTATGTATAACTCTTGAGTAATGGGGGCATGCAGATATGCAGTTTTAACGTCCATCTGGTGGACAACAAGATCATGTTTTACTGCTAACTGCATTAAGACCCTAATTGAAGTAATACTGGCTGTTGGGGCGAAAGTTTCTTGACAATCTATACCCTTTACCTGGCTGTAACCCTTCGCTACATATCTGGCCTTAAAGGACTCTATGCCATTCTGATCTTGTTTGGTTGTGTACACCCATTTTCCCCCTACTGAAGCTTTACCTTCTGGTAAAGTTGATAATTCGTAAGTATCATTTTCCTTCAGAGAGCTGATCTCTTCCTTCATTGCTTGCTCCCACTCCCTAGCTTGAGGTGATCCCATGGCTTCTGTGTAATTTTGTGGTAATCCACAAACTTTGTAGCAGTAATCTACACTAATGTGGGCACAATCGGCATTCTTAGGGAGGAGGGTGTCCTCTTCTAAGTATCTGGGAGGGTTCCTTTCTCTTTGAGGATACCGTTTTGTCTCACTGTCATTCTCAGTATGGTTGCAATGCCTTCCCTCACTATCCTTAGGCTCCTCATCAGGCACTGTATTTGGCGGCATTGCACTTAAAACAGGGAGGCTCATACTATCTAAGTCTGATCTAGTATCATGGTCAGATTTCTCATGTACATCACAATCCCTGCTGGACTCATCAGTTTGTGTGTGCTGTTCTACACTACATTTCTTGATGAATCTAATGAGTCGATGTTTCATGATTTTCCCATTTTTTGGGTAGTACACTAGGTAAGAAGGGCTATTTTTGTCGTATCCCACAAATACCCCCTTGCTGCATCTTGAGTCTAATTTCTTATGCTCCTGTTCGTAAGCAAAACATTCAGATCCAAAGATCCACATTTTAGAAAGATCAGGTACTTTCCCAGTAAGGCTAAAGTAGGGTGTTATCTTTGTTCTCTTATTAAAACATCTATTCCTAATGTGAGCTGCGGTTTGAATTGCATAGGGCCAGAGAGTTTTGGGTAACCCTGATTGAAGAAGAAGACATCTGCCCATTTCGAACAATGTGCGCCAGTGCCTTTCGGCGGTGCCATTCTGGTGTGGCGAGTAGGGAGCAGAAGTTTCATGTTTTATGCCACGCTCCCTTAGTAGTGTTTGAAACGCCTTACCTGTAAATTCTGAGCCATTGTCAGAACGGATGCAACTTACCTTGCCATAAGGAGTGATGTCTGCTAGAAATTTCTCTGTTGCTACAAAGGTGTCACTTTTACATTTCACAAAGTAAACAAATACTGCTCCTGAGAAATCATCAGTAAAAGCTATGCAGTACTTAAACCCCTCTCTTGATACAGGAGAAACTGGACCTGCCAAATCCACATGCACTTTCTCCAATGATTTTTGAGATCTTGCATCAGGAATCCTACTCCTGCTGTTTACAAATTTTCCTTCTACACATGTATTACAACCTAACTTAGATGACTCAATTTTACCTGAGAATTTCATGCCCTTAACTACCCCCTGTAGTTTTATAATATCTTCAAAATTGCAGTGCCCTAGGATTTCATGCCATGTGTTAATATCATACGAGAGATTTACTTTATCTACTTCACTTACGCTATCGTTCTCATGACTGTCTATGGAAGTCAAATAGTACAATCGTCCATGTTCTTCAATTTCAACAATGGTACCATCTTCAAGGGTTAGCTCACCAGTATCTTGGGCAAATCGAAGCTCGGCTCCATTTGATGTGGCTGCCTTCACTGAGAAAATATCTTGAGGATAGGATGGTATATATAAGGCGTTTTTCAGCACCGTTTTCACACATTTTCCATTTGTATCTTTCAGAAACACTTCAGCATCCCCTCGTTTCAATGCAATATTACTGGCTCGTGTGCCATCAGCCAGTTCAATGTAATGTTTTGATGGTTTAAATGTCATGTCTATTTGCTTTAAAATATCAGTAGTAACAATGTGAGAAGTGGCACCTGTGTCAACCAACATTCCCATTCGATTGATTTTCCCTGTTGCTTCGTCGTTAACTTTGAATGCAAATGAATGTTCATCTTTAGAGGTGTTTTCTTTCTCCGACACCTGTTTGGTTTGGTCTTTGCTCTTTTGCTGACTTCTGCAGGTGCTATCCGAGTGTGTTGTACTTTTGTGATAGTTACACCACTTCTTCTCGCTCTTAGCAGGGCACTCTCTGACTAAATGCCCTCTTTTCCCGCAGCCATAACATGTCATTGTTTGCGAAGGAAACTCAGCTTTCATTACCTGATCAACTTTCGGTTTGGTGTTGAGCTTTTCCGTTTCTTCGAAGCTCCTCAACATGCTCTTAAACTTCACGAACGTTATCTCACTTGCACTTTGGGTCACATGTATCGAGAACGGTTTATATGAATCAGGCAGCCCCTTTAAGATCATAGCAATTATTAGCCCATCGCTTAACGTTTCTTTGGCTTAAGCGCTGTTATTGCTTTCTCGGCTCTTATTAAGTAATCTGTGACTGTCTCGTGAAGTGCTTTTTCAAGTGACGTTAGCTCAGTGTAGAGTGTGATGATTCTTGGGTTGCCTTGATTTGCATAATGGTCTCGGAGTATTTGTAAAGCCTTTCGGCCATCGTCGGTAGCATCCCTCATTACCAATGACAGACTGGTGTCATCCAAACACTGTATAAGCTCGGCGTAGCATTCTTCGTTCTTTGTTGCGTCAGCCTCTTCTTCAGACGGCAGGATAGTAGCCTTTAGTTTTAATAACCTCATGTGCGCGAGGAATTTCGCTTCCCACAGTTCGTAATTGCTTTCGTTTCCATCGAAAGTCAACCTTGACCAGCGTGATTCTCTGCTGGGCCCATAACCTGTTGAAGCCATGACTTTAGAACACCGTATTTGTAATGAAATCACTCTTTATTTTCACGTTTATTACAAATGTAGTTTTGTACAGTAAGTTACTTTCACGAGGAAGTTCAACTAACAACACAACAATCCCATCATGCATTTGTCTCTCAGTATTACGTCATACTAATATTTGGATAACATACAGTTTTATATTGAACTCAACAATAAGACGCGACTTAAATAAGACGCGAGTTTGTCGTATAAAAGGTACAAAATTATTATGTAAGACGCGTCTTGGATAAGACGCGTCTTACATAAGAACAGGCCTTTTAGCTGTTCTTATCTAAGTCGCGTCTTAAATAAGAAATTTTGGACAAAAAGTCTAACTACACATGCCAGAAACTTGAAACAACGTAAAATTATTAGCCTTGCATATTAAAACAAAAACAAACAAAACAACATTATAGCTATAGCAAATAAATAAGACCAAAGCCGTAGAGAACCATTTATGCGATAACTCCGCTTATTTAAGTCGCGTCTTATGTAAGTCGCGACTTATTTTGTCCCGTATAAATGGCCCTAATGTCTCTTATTTTTTTAGGTGTTTTTTTTACCAGAAAAAGAAATTTTATGAGCAATTTCTTGACTCCTTTGAAGAATTCAGGTAGCAAAATATACTAACCTTTAAATTACCTTAAATTTAAATTAGAACAAAAACAACAATACCATGTGAGTAATGCATAGGTATTATATTATGTAGGTATCAAATGTAGAAGCGTTAGTATTTTTGGTTTGAATGTCACATTTTATTGAAGCTATCAGACGACATTTTAAAAGGAAATTTTTTGCTCTGTTTTGTTTTGCACTGAAATAATCGATATTAATAACTTACATTGTAAAAATGTGGCAATATAGGAAATCAAAGTATATTAGTTATTACTGCAACATTTTTTATCAGTTAATCTAATTTTTGTGGTAATTTGTGGCCCTAAACAGCCGCTGCAAGCCTTTCGAAAGCTTCGTTCATATTGTTTATGTTTTTTAAATCAAGCAAGTGGAAGTCCGCATATCTTCCTCTCTCGCTGAAAACCCAAGTAGTTTTTGCGCATGCTCATACAATTGTCCCAATACCTGTTATAATTGCTGTTATAGATGTAGGGACCTTTGAGAACAAAATACAACAATTAGTCTGGATATAAACTCAAACGTTATGAAGCAAATGGAAAGATTTTCTTAATCCTACGTTGCTCACGTGAGATACTCGAAATTGTTTATTAAAATATTCAGTCTCAACTGACCCACTCCCTAATGAGCCTGGCTTTCTCTAATAAACCTGGACCCTCCCCACTTCAGTACAACTTTGTTATCCCTCTCCCTCCCGCTCTATTAGCGACCTTAAGCATACCCCTCTCTCTCTCTATTAGCCACCTTAAGCGTGTAGGACGGGAACGCGACGGCGACGGTAAATAAAGTTGTTAAACTAAATGATTGCAGCAGAAAACCTGTTGTCTATTATCCATCGTATGAAAATTATACAGTTTAAGGATCAAGGTTAACATAGGGTTATGATTGAGAAAAGTTCTACGTCCCAAGTAGCCTTTCTCACGCCGCCATTTTTGGGTGGCTTTTCAGGCGAAGTCTGCGAGATAGATCCACACAACAGCGAGCTTTTTGGACGAATGATGGTAAATTTGCTTTGTAAATGGTTAGTTTATTTTGAAAAATTGCTTTTCACATTGTTTTAATTGTCTGCATTGGTTAACGAGTATTAGATGCCACCCAAAAATGGCGGGTATTCGTCATCGTGAGAAAGGCTAATTGAAAGTTGCAGTTACGTTGAGTTGTATGCGTTGTATACAGGACGTGATACAAATCTGTATATTTTGCCGTTGTAAACAGAGCACGGCGACGTCTAAAACGTGGGATTTGAATTGTTAATTTCTCATTTTCTTGTATGAATATGATATTAATAATATCCGTCCTCGTTCCATTTTCATCGTGCCTGGTAAAGTTCTTAATAACAGTAGTTCTTTATAATTTTAAAAGAGTAAAATTTAACGCTGTTTTTGTCTCCTCCCCATACTAGATTAAGCCTTACTTAAGTTTGCTATTAACCCCCTCCTTCCGTTAAGGCCCTCTCTATTAAGCTCTATACAAGCCTATAATGAATAAGCCTTTCCTGACAGGATTAAAACAATACAGTGGCGATTTAGTCCCGCTGTGCAAATATTGTCATGTTTATAAACTATATTGCATTGCGGGACCAAATCGTTAGGCTGGCTACGCCACTATCTGACTAACAAATGTTTGTTTTACATCTTCCAGTTGTAGGAATATCCACAGCATTGTAGTCCATCATTTGTCCACCAAATGTGGAAAGCTTGCTTGAAAGCGAAGAACATGGCGAAGAAGCATGTCCATGCAGTTAAAAGACAGTCGCTTTATTTAAATTAACAAACCGTATTACTAAAAATTAACCTTGGTTTATTTGAAGAAGAGATGTGATAATATTGCACAAGTCAAATTGAAAGACAAATGCGAAATAGCTGAAGAAAAAAAGGAGCCATATAAAACATGAATCAAACACAGAAACATCAATCGTGATAGTAGTGTTGTTTGTAAATATTTGAAACTAGATTTTCTAACATGTATCTTGCCTGTGCGGCAGAAATAAAGTATTATTGTATCCTAAGTACAGTATGAAGATCTATGCATCCATAGATTAGTTCAAGATCATTACTTCCATAACGTTTGTTAGTCACGGCACTGGTGACAGGTTCTTGGACATAGTAATAACACAACATCGTCTGTACAGAATGACGAAAGAGAAATACATTCGGGTGATTCGACCGACGTATCGTAGCATGGTGGCTTGGTAGTGCTAGCTACTGGTGCCACAGTCGATGGTATTATCTCTGTCATCTCAGGTGGTTGTGTTTCATTGTTTAGTGACGATGGAATAGTTGGTTTCTCTGTCATCTGTAATGTTGGTTCTGATGATGGAGTTGTTGGTTCTATCACTGCAGTTTGTACTGAAGATATAGTTATCTGGATTGGTTGTTCAGTTTGTTCTGATGGCTTATTTGGTATCTGGAATGTTGACTCTGATGGTATATATTCTTGGGTTGATGGTGTATAAGTAATAGATTCTGTCACGTAGAATGTTGACAATGGTGGTGTGGATGATGGTTGTTTACTTGGTTGTGTTACCTGAAATGTGGGTGTTAATGGTAGGGTAGTAGGTAGTTTCATTTCTGTAGTTGCTTGTAGTTGCAATACTTCCTGAGCACTTGAAGTAGATGATGTTCCATTCATCTCAGACGTGGCCTTATCTACAACAGGAAGTTGAAATATTACAGTATTCTCAAAGTTATTGTTTTTGATCGGATGTTACTTAGAGTGTATATCGACACCGGGCAGGCTGACAAGTTAGCCTGACCACGGTGGGAATCGAACCCGTGACCTTTGTGATACTATAGTCCAATGCTCTGCCAACTGAGCTACCAGGTCAAGTCTGTTCGAGTGTGTGGTATTTCGAAACTAAGTCTAGTACCTTCGAAACCAATGCGTTCTAATTCAGGGGCGCCGGAAGCAAAATGAAGCGGCGGGGGCAGCCATTTAAAAAGGGCACTTATTCTTCAGCCTTAATTTTTTTTTTGGGAGTGGGGGGGGGGGGCAAGTTCGTTAACATTTTGCTGTATAACAGATACTTCATTACTTGTAGCTAATACAGTTAGACAAATTTCGGCATGGATTGGAACATTTTTGTTCTTTGCATGACACTAAATACTAAAATGTATTGTAAAGCAACATGACAGTGGTCAGTTATTTAGGAAGGCTTTCTTTTTCACTTTTTTTCATAGGTGGAAACTGATTAGTAACGTCTCTGAGAGGAATTCAGATTCAAATATGAGTTAAATTGTTTAAAAACAGTTTTCAATCTCAATTCATGTGTAAAACGCACGACGTTCGAAGTGCAGTTTCTGGTAAAAAGGCAACCTGCTGCCCCCGTGCTGCCCCCGCACTGTTTAGGCAACGGGGGAAGCTGCCCCCGCTGCCCCCGTGGCTCCGGCGCCCCTGCGTTCTATGATCATGATATTTTTTGTGTGTGTTTTGATGTTATGTACTCAGGTGAATATAATGTTTTTGATGTTACTCAAAGTTGTAGATCATTAAAATAACGTTACATGCATGATTTTTGTCAGTGGGACACAGGCAAGTTTCACTAGCGTTACTTAAGGCAGCAGATGGTGGATGGTGGTCAAGAAAATTGAACTACAATTCGACAAACTCAATTCTATTACTAGCCAATAATAAATTGGTAATACAATGAAAAGAATGAACATTATTTTCTCATTCTGATAGCTGCAGGTTGACCACCATCTGCTGCACGACAGTGCTTTGTGAAACTGAAAATTCTTTTAAATATGAGTTAAATAAAAGCCAAGTTAAATATGATGACGTCATTCTTATTTATTTATTTATTAACTTTACAATTATACGAAAAATATAACAATGATTGAAGGTATGGTCAACAGGACATGAGTTCCATGTAAAGACCAACCTGATACAATACAATAAGTAGAGATACATTAAAGACAAGGACTAGAACACTATTTACATAGCTATATAAAAATTAATAGTTTAGATTATGAGCAACAGCTTAAGTTGAAAGAACGGCATTTAGAGCAGTAGGTTTTCCAAGTGCGCATTCTGTTAACATCGAAAGAAGAGTCTAATTGAGAAGAGTAGTGAGAATTAATGGAGCTGGAACTTAAAGGATGAAACAGACGAACTGTTACGAATGATTGGAGAGAGATTGTTCCATAGAAAGACAATTCGGTTAAAAAAAGAGTTTCTAAAAAGAGAGGTTTTGCACGGATTGACTTGAAGCAAGTTGTCCTTGCTTGAACGGGTGCGAGATGAGCGATTAGAAGAAAAGGTGACAAAAGAGGAGATATCTAGGTCGTAGAGGCCTTGTTTGCATTTGGAAAAAAAAGATGAGATCCTTTATTTCAAGCCAGTAAGATATAGGCAATAAATTAAGTTTCCTAAGACGCTCAAGATAAGACAACTCATAATCTTGAAGTATAAATTTAGTAGCTCGTCTCTGAACACCCTCCAGGATCGCAAGATCGCGTGACGAGGCTTGAGGTGCCCAGATCTCACTGGCGTAAGACAGGTGAGATCGGACAAGAGAGAGATAGAGAAGCCGACGGCAGCGAGTATCAGTCATTTGAGAACAATTTCTCCGAAGAAAACCAAGCAAACGGTTGGCTTTAGCAGTACAGCTGGCAATGTGAGGGGACCACTTAAGGTCATTGCTCACAACCACACCGAGTTATCATCATAATAAGAGTCATCTTACCTGGGTTAACAATTTTATAGATAAAATTTGCGCGCGCACCTCCGACGCAGTCGGTATCATCTTGAGAACATGGTTGAAACTCGGCATTAAAACATTTGTCTGTACTTGGACCATCTCTGCTGTAGTGTGGTTCTGATTCACTGCTGGTCCAGCATTCTGTGTAATACTGAAGACCAATATAGTGGTACCCTTGTAACTGTGCATTTACTGCGCAGTCGCATAACAATCTAAACACAGAATACAGAACCTGCAGGTAAGAGTCTTTCATAGTCTTATGTAAGCAAAAATTATATAATATATTTTATATACTGAAACCGGTATTCTAATGAGCATGATTTTATTATAAAGCAGCCTAATTGTTCGTCTCTAATCAAATGGATATAGGACCATGTTTATAGAAACTGGTAAATCTAAACACGGTCATAAACCCAAAGTCACATGCAAAGCCTCCTCCATAGGCATCGCCTTTAGATTGGCGGGCAGAATTTGCCGCATTCGAGCAACCCAGGTGAACCACAAGATGCCTGCGGAGGAGGCTAAATCGTTGAAATATCGCACAATATAAAGCTTACTAGGTCAGTTTTATTTGCGAGAGTATGAAAACCTCTGACATATACCACAGCTTCATTACGTAAAATGTGCGTCTCTAACCAAATGCGCTCGCGTTGTAGGTATGTCATTACCGTGGCAGAGCAATCTTTTGTTCTTCGTGGTTGTATGGTATTCGACGATACACAAGCAATTTAGCAAGTGGTAGACTTGTTCGACTATAAACAAGCAATTTATCAAGCGGTCGACTTTTATCATTAAAACATCCAACTCTTTCGACTTCAACATCACATGCGAAACCTGTACAAAATAGAAGTTTCCATTGGATAGAAACTCTAAAAGAACACGCCCTACCCGCAGAACGTGCAGAACACGTTCTGTGGAATAAATACAAAAAATTAAAACTAGTAGATATAAAATGTCTACTCATTAGCCAATTGATAAATTTGGATCCACAGCGCGCTGAACGTATTTAGCGTAAAGTTTAAGATTGCATGTGAAAGAAATTTCTAGTCTCTATATATGTTTTCTGCAGCTTTTTTGTTATAATCGACATTAAACATTCGTTCGAGAAAATTCCTAATTGATACCATGCACTACAAGTATAACGTATATATATGTACGCTTTATTTCGATCAGTAAGTTAAAAATAAAAAGATTAGCAATGGACCATTTGCATTATAGACTAAATTTTGATCTAAACAAGTCTAGACAAAAATTTCATCACAGCTTGAAAGAGCATCACAAAATTAGTAATATTCCAAAGTTTCGTTGCGAAATGTTGTAAAATGCGGATAATATCCGCATTTTACAACATTTCGCAACGAAACTTCGGAATATTACTAATTTTGTGATGCTCTTTCAAGCTGTGGTGAAATTCTTGTCTGCATGGATCAAAATTTAGTCTATAATGCAAATGGTCCATTGCAATACTCCGCATGTAATTTACATTGTAAGGAAATAATATGTTTACATACTATACCTTTCACATTGTTAACTAGCTGTGCTATGTAGAAAATAGCAAAAACAAATGATGGATAATCCATTGCGAAAATATCGTCTCGATATTAAAGACTGAAGATGTTCCTTCCAAAACCAGCGCTTAATAAATTGAAAGCTGTTAAAATGTCTCTTTTATGTATACTGTCTGAAAAGTGTTTTACATGTAATTGTACCTAACGATTGTTCTATTACAGGTAAACTACGTAAGCGTTCCTCTTGAGGTCCTAACTCATTTGAAATTTTCATAATTAGCTTTGCAAATTTGAAAAACGCTTTGTAAATCCAAGGACAAAGACTCAAAGTATTATCTAATTTGTTTGTGTAATTTAATTTCGGTGGGAAATTTGCCGTGAAAAATTGTAGTTTTGCCGTGAGAAAGTAATGTTTGCCGTGAGAGATTGAAGTTTTCCCCTGAGAAACTGATGTTTTGTCGTGAGAAGAAAGTTCTGCTGTGAGAAACTGATGTTTTGCTGTTAGACACCATACCATGCATATTTATCAGTAATTCCCGCCATAATTGTTCCATCAGAATTATGTCGAATAAAGAAGATCGAATCACAAGTGGAGTGACTTCAGAATACCCGGCTACTTAAAAACACACTTTCCAATCCGTGGCTATATATGACTACGCGCGGCAGCTATATATGACTACATGCATGAGCCCCTACGTGACTACATGGCTACGTGACCCGACTACGCTGGTACCTGACTATGTAGATATACGTGCATGGCTACGTGACTACATGGCTACGTGACTACATGGCTACGTGATTACATGGCTATATACCTCATGATTTTAAAAGTGTTTTTGTCTCCTCCCCATACTAGATTAAGCCTTGCTTAAGTTTGCTATTAACTCCCTCCTTCCCCTTATTATCCCCTTATTATTGCTAATTGGCCTTAATGGGTTAAGGCCCTCTCTATTAAGCTCGATACATGCCTATAATGAATAAGCTTTCCCTGACAGGATTAAAACAATACAGTGGCGATTTAGTCCCGCTGTGCAAATATTGTCATGTTTATAATCAATTTCTAAAGAAATGAATAATGATAATGAGTAGAAGTTTGCATAGCGGTAAATTTGCATAATTCTACAAGTATATTAAAAACGATCTTTTCAACAAAAATATAAAACTTCATCATTAGTTTTCTATTAATTAAGTGAAGTACTTGCTCGTCAATATATATGTCCTCGAGCTGTAGACATGAAGTAGTGAGAGAGCAAAGACAAATAAGTTAAAAATAAAAAGATTTACCAAGTTTTACCCATGCAGAGAAACTGATGTTTTGCTGCAAGAAGAAAGTTCTACCTGACTATGTGGCTACATGACTACATGGCTGGCCACCATACCATGCATATTTCTCATATTAATTCCCGCCATAATTCTTCCATCAGAATTATGTGGAATAAAGAAGATTCACAAGTGGAGTAACTTCAGAATACCCGCCCATTTAAAAACACACTTTCTAACCCGTTGCTACATGGCTACGCGGCTATATGACACCCCCATCCACTTTCATCCTGCCTGTTGAAGTCCTTAATAACAGTAGTTCTTTATAATTTTAAAAGTGTAAAATTAAAGGCTGTTTTTGTCACGTCCCCATACTAGATTAAGCCTTACTTAAGTTTGCTATTAACCCCCTCCTTCCCCATATTACCCCCTATATTTGTGGCGGAGATGTGATTGTATTGCACAAGTCAAAGTGGAAGACAAATGCGAAATAGCTGAAGAAAAAAAGGAGCCATATAAAAGAAGAATCAAACACAGAAAAATCCCAAGAAACATCAGTAGTAATAGTAGTGTTGTTTGTAAATATTTGAAACTAGACTTTCTATCATTATGTATCTAGCCTATGCTGCAGAATAAAGTTTTATTGTGTGCTAAGTACAGTATGAAGATCTATGCATCCATAGATTAGTTCAAGAGAATTACTTTTCCATAACGTTTATTAGTCACACTGTTGACAGGTTTTTCGACATACTTTTACAGTGCCTTTTTTAAGGAATTTTCACTGGGGGGAGTCAAAACAGGAAAAAAAGGCAGAACGAAAAATATGAGCCGTCGAGGTTTGGCGAACGCGCGAGTCTGAAGAGAGATTTTGTAAAACTTTAATTTATTAACTTCAGCTATATTTTACTTTAAACGATAACTTCAACCCTTTGTAGCTATAATCGTACAGCTATAACCAGTGGCGTAGCCAAACCTTAATTTTGCGGGGGGGCGAACCTCACGCCGAAGGCGTGAGACCGTCTAGGAGGGTCCGGAAAATTTTGAAATCTAGGGTCCCTGAATTGCGATTTCATGCATTTTGGGGTGAAATCTAGCAGAATTCCGAAGATCCTAAAGTACATCGAAGACATGAATTTTTCCAGACATTTCTACTCGGAATTAAATAAATTGGAAAAGTCACCTTGAAATATAGGAGGGGGTCAGTGTCACCTTATTTCCTCTCTGTGATGCTGGGGGGATCCCAATGTGATTTTGATCAGAAATGTTGCATTTAAATCATTTTAGGTTCTATGAGACACCATTTCCGCATTCTCAAAATTGCGTTGCTTTTTCATACGATACAGAATAAGTCTGAGAAGAAATATTCATGCTATGATGATGCATACATGTATTTAACAGTTAAAAATCTAAACTAAATCTATTCACTTCTTGGAACCATATCTACAACTGCTTTAACGAGATTTCACAAATCAAGTTCCTCGATCCAGTATATCGTCTTTTTCCTCACTCGAGACGTACTTAATCAGCTTCAGCTTCCAGCATGTAACGTGTACCAACCCCTCCCCCCCCCCCATTTCTCTAAGGAATTAGCCTTTCGGAGAGAATGGTTTTTGTGGCGATTGGGGGGCGGCTCTTAAAATAACTTGATATTTTTTAAGAAAAAAATTTTGCAATAAAACCTCCCAAAACAAAACACAACGCCTCTGTGGAGGAGAGTGCTAGGAAATAGTCGCAAGGCTTGGAAAGGCTAGCATTTTATCGGATTGTTTGCATGAAATCTATCGCTATTATGAAATACTCGGTGAAGAACAACATGAATTACACACAGAATGGCTGTGGAGGAGGCTATGGAAGGGCATAATCTCATTATCAAGTAAATCAACTGCAATTCTGACAGCAATCATGAGCAATTCTGCTTCGCACTTCGGGGGCAGAAATGGCTTTACTGGGGAGGGGGGGAATTCTTTCCCTGGGGGGGGGGGCAATTGCCCCCCCCCAGATATATAGTTAAAAAAGGCACTGAAGTTCAAAGTACGCCCAAGCAGTTGTAATCCGGTGTCGGGAATGCCGTTAGAGGCTAAATGCTAAGCCAACACAGTCACAATAGTTTGGGTTTTTCTCTAAATCACTTTACAAATCACTACTGCTCTAAAATCACAGTCTCAACAGTTACGCTATCACTTAATCACTACTTATAAATTTGATACTCTACTTAATTAACTTATGACGCATGCATTATTTGATTGACAGTTCTTAATAACTAAATATATATTATCCTAATTAACTAATATTACCACAATTCTCAACACACTCCCCCTATTCGTTTTTTGTAAACGAATATGAATGAATTGTGTTTTCGTTCACCGTCCATAATGATTGAGTTCGACTATATGTGTAAATTTGACTGTTCGTAACCTAACAAAACTTAAATTATATTGTATTACTCAAGATATATTGTTCTCTATGTGGCTGAATATGTATCTATATATGATTAACGTTCTAATTCTGTTCGTCACCTGCTATGTCCTGAATTCGACATTCTGCTATCGCTGCAGCATTTCTCTTTGGTCTGAACTCGGGTACATCAGCTCTCAGTTCTGTTTCTCTTGGTCTCGACTCTGGCGTCTTTACGGCTACGTCACAGGACAGTTCCATAGGGTATAGGTGTTGAACTGCATGTTCTAATGTGTTCTGTCCCACTCGTAGTTTCGCTCCCCGTACGATACCGTCTTTACCCACTACGAGTCGTTCTACAACACCGATTTTCCACTTTCCCCGATTCTTTTCCTCTCCTTTCACGATAACGACGTCTCCAATCTTTATACTTATAACTTTACCGTGATGTTTCATGTTATGCCGCTCTCGGAGAGCCTTCAAATATTCAGAAGACCATCTTTTCCACAACACGTCTTTACATTGTCGGATGTACTTTGCTCTCTTGCGGAGATCGGGATTCTCGATTTGATGCTCTGGTTGTTCTGGTAATATGTTTGGTCGGACGAATTGCAACGTATTCGGTGTAAGTAAGGGCAGTTGGACGTCTTCTTCTACGTAGCTGAGAGGTCGGTTGTTTAAAGTCACTTCCACGTCCAGGATGACATCTTCCAACTCCGTCCAGGAGAGAAACCCGTTACCAATGAACTTGTACATAGCTTGTTTTACAAGTCCAATCAACCGCTCGTACTGTCCGCCCCACCAAGGAGCTCGACTCATGTTGAATTGCCACTTGATCGACATTTTAGCCAAGAAATCATTAAACTTTTCGTCCTTCATAACTTGCTTTATCCACTTCGCCCCGGCAACAAATGTCTTCGCGTTATCGGAATACACTTTCAATGGGCGCCCTTTCCTCGCGACGAATCGTTTGAATGTTGAAAGGAATTCTTCTGTACTCATGGTCTTCGTTAACTCGAGATACATCGCACGGGTCAAAGAACACGCATATACAATTATATAGGCCTTGCCTTCTTGCTTTCCCCGTTTCTGGTACCTAATTGGACCCGCGTAGTCGACCCCTACGACTTGGAAAGGCAAATCACCCTCAGTCCGATCTTTCGGTAATTTCCCAGGTTGTGGGTTTGGAAAATGTGTTGCATGGAACCGTCTACATCCGAAACAGTTCTTGATAACTCTTCTAGTAAGTCTCCTCAGTCGTGGAATCCAGTGGCTCTCTCGTACATTAGCCATAGTCAGACCCACTCCCCCATGGAGGGTCACATTGTGAGCATGTTCCACTAGTTTCTCGGTGTATATGTCATTGTCTGGGAGGTAGGTTGGGAAGTCTCCTTGTATTCGGCCATGACATTCAAGAATCCCACCATCACTCGGTTTAAGGTTTAATCTCGCACGATCTTCTTCGAATTCCGGTGTATCTCGATTTCTTCTTTGGACCTTTATTATCCACCATGCTTCTCGTTCTTGGATCTCTTCGGTTGACAATGGGCCACGTATGCTTTCATTCACTCTACCAGCGTTACGAACAAATCTCGAGACCCATGCACAAATTCTTAGAGTTCTCCAAAAATTCCACTTCTTCAGCAGTTGATCAAACACGTCAGGTTGAGGAATGGCGATGTTGAAGATCTCTCTAATCGGTTTGGTTTCCGCTGTACTCTCCTTACTGGCACTTGTCACGATATCTGCTGGCCAGTTTTCTTTAGTTGTTAGCCACTCTGGGCCTTCCCACCAGAGGCGATCTGTTTCGGTGACTTTTCCACCTCTGCTTCCAAGGTCGGCCGGATTTTCTTTGGTCGGGATGTGGTTCCATTGGATGTAATCTTTCTCTTGGATCTTGCGCACACGATTTCCCACGAACTGTTTGAAATCTCCCCCTCCGCGTATCCAATGAAGAGCCACTGTGCTGTCCAACCAGCCGAATACTTGGTTTACGGGGAATCCCACCAACGCTTCTCGAACATTATGGACTAAGTTGGTGGCCATGTGCGCCGAAACCAGTTCCAGACGAGGTATGGTTAGGTTTTTCTTGGCCAATCGCGATTTCGCAGCCACAAGACCTTGTGATGTACCACTTGCTTGTCGAACTACCGCTATAACAGTTGCCGCCACGCCTTGCCCACTTGCATCGCCGAATGTGTGCAATTCGATTTCGTTGATGGCTTCTTGGTGCTTTGCTAGAGTTCGGGGTGCTCTCACGTGATCTGGAAGATTCTCTTCCCAGGTAGACCATCTAACTTTCAACTCATTTGGAAGTTTGTTGTCCCAAGGTAACTTGGCGTCGCAACAATCCCGGTAGAGGAATTTTCCCTGCAGTGTCACTGGTGCGATCAGTCCGAGGGGATCGTAGATTTTGGCTATTTTACCGAGTATTCCTCGTTTGGTTGCTTGTGCTTTTCCGGACGGTATCTCGATTTTTATGACGTCATCTTTCTTGTCCCAGGAAAGACCGAGTAGTGCTGATTGGCCCGATTTGACCCCAAGCTGCTGTTTCGCGAATGTCTCTCCAGTGGACGGTGGTAAATGGGTTTGTGCGTCTTCAAGGGCAGGGACGTTTGAATGCCACTTATGGAGTTGAAATGTCGCGTCGTTAAAGATCTCTCTGGCTGTTTCTTTGAGTTGTTGGGCTTTCTCGATTGTTTCTCCACCGCTGACCAAATTGTCGACATACAAACTCTTGTTGATTTCTTTCACGGTTTTCGGATGTTGTTCTACGTGTTTCTCGAGATGTTGTTGGATAACCCACCGAGCAGGAATGGGGAAGGAGACAGTCCGAATAGGGCTCTCGTGAAGCGAAGTGTCACTACTTCCTTGGTCTTCAAGTTGTGTGCGTATACAAACACACAAATTGTGTGCGTATAATGATGCTACTTTCAAGTTTAAATCTCATTTGCGTGGCGTGATTATTCTCCGTCCAACGTTTTTAGTCCAGGATAAAAAGTTTCGGAAATTCCTTAAAAAAATCCTAAAAACCTAAATTCCTTAAGAAAATCCTTAAAACTCTTCAAAATTCCTATTTTTAAGGATAATTCCTTAAAAGTGAGAGCACTGTTTATGATAATTTCACATCAGGGGTGTATATAGAGTCTGGGCTCCACCTTTACTATTCCAGTAATTTTCCTACGATTTAAAGAATTATTTTCGAAAAAACGTTTGGTTCAAGACTTCAAGGTAGAAAAATGATGTTACAATGCTGATTTTGACAACAAATTTTTCAGTTTATTTAGAACTTCTGCATCTCAATGATAAACAGCACAACCAAATAGTTGATTATTGATATATTAACTAGAGATGTTCCCATTAAAAAGTACTCCTCTCTATAAATTACGCTCATTTTTTAACAAACGTTTTTAGTTTCACAAACATAATATATATTCACCTTTTTAAAATTTGATTTAAATATTGACATTATGTTCCTATACCCCTCCCTCTCCTTGCTGACATAATATGAGACTGATCCCCAAGCTAGGTAGATGGTTCGCCTTGTTGTTGTATCGTGGATTGTCCGTGTGTTTCTCCTGATGTAACTTAGCTCTTTGTTTGCGCGAGCACATTGTTGGTGTATATTCTTCAATGACCTTTGATTTCTTCCCCCCCCCCTCCCTCCCCCTCTCTTCAGCTTTGATTTTCTTCCCTATATCTTGAAGAAATTTGGGCGCGGCATCGGAGTCTGGGCTCCACCTTTACTATTCCAGTAATTTTCCTACGATTTAAAGAATTATTTTCGAAAAAACGTTTGGTTCAAGGTAGAAAAGTGATGTTACAATGCTGATTTTGACAACAAATTTTTCAGTTTATTTAGAACTTCTGCATCTCAATGATAAACAGCACAACCAAATAGTTGATTATTGATATATTAACTAGAGATGTTCCCATTAAAAAGTACTCCTCTCTATAAATTACGCTCATTTTTTAACAAACGTTTTTAGTTTCACAAACAATATATATTCACTTTTTTAAAATTTGATTTAAATATTGACATTATGTTCCTATACCCCTCCCCCTCCTTGCTGACATAATATGAGACTGATCCCCAAGTTTTCTCAGTTCTTTTTCATTCTCATACCTTGTCCTTTCTCTTCTTTTCCTTTGCCCCCTCATTTTCCTTTTGCCCTTTCCTTTCTTTTCCCTTTGTTCTCTTCTTTGTTCTCTTCTTTTCTTTTTCACTCTTCTTTGAATTTCTTCCCTGGCCCTAAGACCCTTTGATTCCTCCCCCCCCCCCGGAATTATAGAAGAATATACACCCCTGTCTCACATATGAAAATGACCGCTTTTCAATTCTCGCTTTTCTGTAAAAATTATCTCTTTTCAAAGACTGCCCTTTTCAAAGACTGTATAATAAACAGAAAAATACATGGGTGCGTTTATATCTCACTCGTTCGCTGCGCTCATTCTTGAGATCTCATGTTCAATACTCGAAATAAATCTGGTATTTCTGCGCACCCATGTATTATTCTCTATACAGTAATGCATGGTTGCACCAGTAGTGACAGTACTGTTCCAGAACACCGTGTGCACTCCATTTCATATCGTTCCACAACAGTGTTCCAAATATTCTAGAACTGTAAATGGAGCAGCCTCCAACATTACATGATTTAAAAAGGACAGTTTTCTTATGATTTTATGATGTTTTCTTATCTTTTTTTCAGTTTTCTTATGTCTCAGTTTTCTTATGATGTTTTTAAAAATTTCCTTGAAATTTTCCCCATCCTGAAAATTCCTAAAGTGGAAAAAGCGTGACGTCACAACACGTGATGGAATGATATTGTACGAGATTGTGTATGGAGCACATGAAAGTCACATGATGAGTCCCAGTCTCCAGGAACTCCCTTGCCCTCAATCTCGTTCCCCGAGCCTGCGATCCTTGGGAAGGAAACGAAGGCTCTGGGATAATCCATCTCAGACATACAGAAAACTGTATGTCGACCGAACTGCGCATGCGTTGCCAAAAGCAAAACAAATTGTTTGAAATATTTTATTGTTTCGTCTATAAAATGATGATTTTTTCGGGGTTTTGGTGGAAATGTTGATGTTCTTCATAGTGGGATACAAAAGGTGTGTTAGCGACTGAATAAGGAAAATATTGCGTGTGAAACAGGGTCAGTATAGAGCCGGCAGGAGCCGCGAAGAGTGCTGTTGTCGAAGAAAAATGTCACAATTAATTGTAATCTTGTCCATTCTGGCCTCTGTGTCAGTTTGTAAAAGCTTTAAATGTAGAGACATTTGTGGTTTCTCCAGCATAATTTAGCCGTTTAACGCTATTATGTTTCTAATGGTTGAAAGAGCGCGTGGAAAGGGCAATTTTCAAGAACAAAAACAATTACAAATTATGTACTGTGTGTTAATTCACTTAATTGCTACTGTAATATTAAAATACCTGAAGAGAGTCTCAATTCTAATAATAAGTCTGTTATAAACCTTGATAATATTAAAGTTTTCAGAAGATTTGTATATCAGAGCATTGTATTTGTATATCATTTGTATAGCTTCCTTATATGTTTTAATATTTGCAAGCAGTTTAGTAGGTTAGGGATGCAACAGCACTTTCAAATTATTGAATTGGGCTATTACATTAAAAAACCAAACCCCCCCTGTCGAGGACCTCTGCTTTTGGGGATTTTTACCCCTCTGGAATGCAAAAAAATCTGTGTAATTGACCCCTCTGGAAGAGACTTGAACCCCCTCTGGAAGTGCTTTTTTGCTTTTTAACCCCTCTGGAAAGAGCATTTTTCTTCCATTTTTCCCAATTACCCCTCTGGAAAAAATGACTTATTTCCCCCTTGGAAAATGAGGTTCTCGACAGGGGGGGTACGGATATTAAATGTAATAGCCCATTGTAACCAAATTTTGTGTCTGGATAAGAATACTATTAAAGATTTACAGTTTGTAATGATAGAGTTGGAGCAAGTTAAGCTGCAATGTGCTTCAGTTTGCCCTACCTTGTTATTTTAAGCTGTTTAACGCCAGAATTTTTTCTTGTTAAGGGGAAAGTATTGGACTTGGTATTTGAATGGGTTAACCAGTCCATCTGCATGTCTACCTATCTTTGGTTAATTATCTCATTAGATCATTAAGCCACAATGCTCTTTAGTGCACCCTATTTTGTTATTTCACTGTACTTTTGGACAGGGATGGATCCAGCATGATCTGGTAGGGGGGGGGGGTGCCTCTGGTGCCGAGTTGTGTTGGTCATGTGTGCCACCCACCCATCAACTACTGTATTTGAATTGTAATTGTTCACAGTTCACTTATCATCATGTCATTACTCAAATTAATGTATCTCATTTTGTCTTTTTTTTGCTTTATCATGAAAAATAGCACCTCCCCTGCAACATCTCTGGCCAGGGCTAGGGGGGGGGGCACCCCACCCCCGTAAATCCATCCCTGCTTCTGGACAATATTTCTCATCAATGGCCAGAAATGTACTTGACTTCATGTTGATTACTACCATTAATTAATTAACTACTGTACTAAATAGGACATTCAAGGTTGGAGATATAATAGCAATAGAGGTTGCTAGCTATCATTGTAGCATTCAGGGGCGTCACTAGCCAAAATTGTCAGTCATTTGGCAATTTATTGTATTGGCAATCGGGAAATTGTTTTCTTGGCCAGCTTGATTTGAATTGGAAAGGAAGGGAAAAACCGAAATATACGAGTTTTTGTTGCCCCTCCCCTTCTCAGAGTAGGTATGTGCTGTTTTATAGTGTAAATAACAAGTTTTGATATTGCAATCAAACTGACAGGGTAGTTGTCATGACCATGGTAATAAAAATATTTCTATGGCTCGGCATTTATATTGGGCAATTTTTTTATCATTAATCACAAAATTATATCTGCACCCTAGGTGGTTCCCTGCAGGGGGTCATAACCAGGGGGAAGCTGATGAAAATGAATTCTGGTTTTGGTGGCTGATCACTGTCATTTCAGTATGAATAGAACATTTCTTAAAAAAAAGTATATGAATTTATTAAAAATATTTATATGGTCTCCCAATCTGAAATTCATAGTTTGTAACATCTGGATCAAAAGGTTTATGATGTTTTCTTGGACAGAATCCAATTAATACAACCTCGTACAAGGGCAGGGCTTCATTGAATTACTGTGTGGACAAGATTAACAAAGGGATTGGCAATTTGGCATATTGTGCTACTCAATAAATTAAAATCATTAAATACTTTATGCTACAATTAGCTGTCAGTAATATTATACTGTATATTATTGTGTTTCATATGACTTCATAAATTTGATGGGTGGTCAACTCTAAATCGAGACACAGTCATCAGAGTGAATTAATTTTTCACTGTATGTGTTGGCAAATACATGTAATTTCATATCATTTGCTCACTCCAGTACAACATAAGCATCAATACATTTATTTTTTAGGTTGACCCCCCGTCAGTACCAATGACAGAACGTGCAAAATGCCATAGTGAAACCCAAGAATTCATTATATGTATTATGCAGTATGCACCTATCGATGTTAAGCCCCAGAGAAGGGGGGTCGGGCACAGGTGGGCATTTGATTTTTAGAGCAAATTTTCAATGAAATGCCCCCCCCCGTCGGGCAATAAATATTGGTCAAATGCCCCACCATTTTGTAATAAATTGCAATAAATACTATGTTAATAAAAGTCATTCGGTTCAATTTGCCCCAACTCGGGGCCAAAATGCTATTCAAAATCCCCAGGGTGGGGATGCAATTGATGATCAAATACCCCACATATGCCCAACCCCCCCCCCCTCTGGGGGTTAACATTGATAGGTGCATTAGGTGTATGCAGACTGGAATACAAGTTAATATCACTGCCTGTGAAATTGTGGTTTATTTAGAGAATAAAGGTTTTTTGAACTCTTCTATAAATAAATTATAACAGCAAAAGATTAATATGCACCCATATAGGGAAGGCTTACATGCTACAAGTTAAAATGAGTATTACATACTCCTGCACTTGAAAAGTTTACAGCACAGTATATACATTAAATAATAAAATATATTATTAACAGTAAATTCCAAGATTGGATTTATTGAAACTAGTCATTAACTAGTTCTTCGCATTTAAATAACACAAAGACAAATTAATAAAAGTTATTAACCATTTCTGACAAATATTATTTGCAAAATATAGCACATAGTTGATATTATAGTCAAATAGTACAGTGTACTAACAGTAAGCATGCAGTACTCTATACTCTACTATGTATAGATTAAAACTACAGAAAACCTGTACAACACATATATGAGTAAAGTTTTCACGCTCCATTTAACTGTTGTGATATTATACGCATTAAGTATACGTTTCTTTGCATTTCCTTTGTAGTATTAGTATATAGCACAGCTCTGAAAAACCAAAACAATATTCGTACACTCCTAACGGCCGCCATGTTGTATGTAAAAATATACGGTTAAAAATTAATTTTTGCAAAATTGCAACATTCCATTGTATACCAGCAACCAATCATATTCATTTTTGAGATGGATTATCCCAGAGCCTTCGTTTCCTTCCCAAGGATCGCAGGCTCGGGGAACGAGATTGCCTTGCCCTCGGTTTGTGGTTCTACAACACGCAGTCACAGAATAGGAAGTTATACCAGAAGCGTAACTCTAGTCGTTTCCTTATTGTTTGACGTCCACGAAAATTTTAACTCGCTCACGTCAGGCCACGCCATCCTGGCTAGTACAGCCGGAAGTTTTTATCAGGATTTGGTAGGTACAAAGTGCCGGTTGTACTAGCCAGGATGGCGTGATTGATGACGAATCGCTTGTAAAAACGCGGACAAATATTTGCTCGAGTTACGCTTCTGGTATAACTTCCTATTCTGTGACGCAGTGTCAAAAACTTCAGACAAATTCAGACATAAACAATGAAGTTTCAAGTCCTTTTCGTGTGTTTTTTCTGTCTTTATGGCTATTCCTTTGGCCTTCCAGTCGATGTAAATGGAGATCCAGTATACTCTCAGCCAGAACAAATCCACATTTCTGCAACAGGTATAAACAGCCGCACATTTTTGTAGTGTTTTTTGACATTTCTGTATGGAGTTAGGAATGCTATATTTCACGGTGTTGATTTCAAAACTTTTTAACTTCATTGGTGAATTTATAGAAAGCCCTCTGAGTCGCATGGTCGAAAAAACCCCATATATGTATTAAGCTGTATAAAAGTGAACTGAAATGTCGAAGTATGAAGAATTTGATTGGACAGATTTAATATGTCAGATTTCAGGATTTTTTATTGAGATATGTTGCAATATACCCTGAATGTAAAATTTCGAAATTTATAGATAGAAAGATACAGGCATTGGACAATGCATGACAGCATATAGATGCAATTGTGTGTTCAAATGAATCCTAAATATGTTTGTGAATAGAGCCTTAATTGGGTGTTTATGCATGCCGATTTACACTACATAACTTTTGCCTAAGGGGCTGTTTATGTGGAAGCCAGGCTGCCCACTTAGGGAGACAGCCCGGTATCTGAATGTGTAGTTATTTTTATAGTTAGTTAAAAGTACTGTGCATTTATATATGGACAAGAAGAGACGAGACCTTACTTACTGGGATGACAATTTTCCATATAAACACTCACAAGCCCGGTTGCACACAAGATGTGTTTGCACTAGGTTTGTAGCAAGCTTGTTAACAAGTTGTGACAATTATGCTGTTACAATAACTTGTCTTATATATGGACAAGAAGAGACGAGACCTTACTTACTGGGATGACAATTTTCCATATAAACACTCACAAGCCCGGTTGCACACAAGATGTGTTTGCACTAGGTTTGTAGCAAGCTTGTTAACAAGTTGTGACAATTATGCATCTTCTTGACAAGTTGTTGGAACAGCATTGTCACAACTTGTTAACAAGCTTGCTACAAGCCTGTTGAGGAGACATCTTGTTGACAAGTTGTTGGAACAGCATTGTCACAACTTGTTAACAGGCTTGCTCAGTGGCGGAAATTCACTTTTTCCAGTGGGGCGGCAAAGCCTCCTAAATTTCCGACAAAACTTTCAAATTTCCGATGTACCCCATTTGCACTCGAAAAGACTGTTTTTAGCCCTCTTAGGTCAAAATTTCCAAAAATTCGGCAATTTTTCTTGAAGGTGGGGGGGGGGGCACCACAAATCTGTTGCGGAAAAAATCTTGTTGGCAAGGTGTTGGAACAGCATTGTCACAACTTGTTAACAAGCTTGCTAGAAACCTGTTGAGGAGATTAGGGCAAAATTTCCAAAAATTCGGCAATTTTTCTTGAAGGTGGGGGGGGGGGCACCACAAATCTGTTGCGGAAAAAATCTTGTTGGCAAGGTGTTGGAACAGCATTGTCACAACTTGTTAACAAGCTTGCTAGAAACCTGTTGAGGAGAGAGGTGCAACGTAACACTTGCCCGGTGCAAGTGAATATCATCACCGGCAGGTAAACATTTTGTCTTGCTTGCCCGATTGGGCAATTTGCCTTAATTGCTACAAAAAGCTGGGCATCTTCAAGTTTGTGTTTTCATTGTCGGATGTCATTTTTTATAGTGCATGTACTTGATTCAATTTTTGTTTTTTGGGGGCCAAAGCTAGATCTGAGGCAGTATAACATAGCCATATAGATCAGTGGGAGAACAGGTTGACATGTTGTTCCCTTAAATTATTAGCCCCTATACCTAGGTACCCCAGTGGCCATTGTCTGATGGCAAGTGAATTTTATTTAGCACAACTAATTTTCATGTCCAACTTGCCCTGAGGGCAAGTGGTCAAAAAAGTAAAGTTACACCACTGACATTAGACAGATTTAGAAAAGACGACGCGACCTCAAAGACGACGTGAAAATTGCGTGTTCTGTCCATATATGGATGTGCCACGCCATT